TTGCTTTGATGTTAATATTGTTTATGATTATGCTGAACTGTCGTGAGAGTTTTTTCAAGCATTGATTTTTAACTTTATAAAATGCTGATGTTTATGAGCCCATTGACTTAAGCAAAACCTGAATGCACTTGTTAGCAACTCGCCATCACATGCTTGAGGGGAAGTCAGTTGGAAGTCAGGCATGAAAGACCAGCTAAAGATAATTAGGAAAATCCGGTTTGATGTTTCTCTGTGTGGGTGTGGAAGAAAACATACTCATGATTTTGCATACTAGCAAATGCATGCATCTGTGCAGTGATGTGCATGTGTTAAATATCATGCCATTTTATATTTGTCTGATCATCTAAGGAGTTCATTGAACTCCTTAGATAATGGCATTTTTTTATTATGTGGTCCCTGTGCTGTGCTGTGCCACATGCCCAACACACGCCATTTAGCTGGATCTCTTTACAGAAAGGTATGCTTGCAAGAAAAGGGAAATATGTGCAATATGATGAAATGCCAAGAACTTCTGAAATAGTCTCTTTCAAACTAAATTGGATGGAATTTAAATTAGCAAATTAGCGGGGCAGAATGGAGGACGATATCTTTTTTTTAGGTTTAAAAAATGCATCAGAGGATGTTTGCAATGGGAGTAAGTTATTACACAGATATTATTTAAACCTGAAGAACAAATATTTGACCATAAGGAAGTAATTTTTGCATTTCAAGAACATTGCACTTAGATTTACAGATGGAATGCCGCTGGGAAAATTATGAGTCATGAAAGGACAGATAGCCTTTGTCAGCATGATCCTACTCTGCAATTTGTTATTGGAGAATATGTTCGGAGCCATTTGAGCCAATTTACTGACTCCATTCTACCACAGTTATGTTATTCATGAAGCTCTAATCAAAGCTGCAATTTGAAACAGCTCTTACTTTGTGCCTAGTTATTATCATACTGGGCCCACGACAGGATGGAATGAAAAGAAACTGGAGCAAAACTGAGCATAAAAGAAGGAAGCTGAATGGTGCAGTGCAGAACACAGCTAAACAGACCAGCCTTCAGAGATGTAATTTTAACAGGGAAGCATGTGAAACGCAGCAGACGCTCACGAGTTAGCAAGGTTGTTTCTTTCTCTTTTTTTCCACACCCAGGTCCACAGTTATTTCTAAGTCTGTGTTCTCTGGACCTGTGCAGCAGATTGCCGTAGAGTTGATTGGACAGTGAATAATGGTTGCTGCAGGGATGAATCATATTGTCAGGGTGTGAAACATATTGTTGTTGAGTCGTTCATTTTGAAACCCTGTCGCTTGCCTGGTGGAGATCTCTATGCAAAGCAACCAAACGCTACCAAGCACTAAGGACCCATATGCACAGGTCGATGTGCATCTAAGCTTAAGTGTTTTAGACATATGCAGGTTAAACTGTAAATACAGACAGAATCAGCACGACCTCCAGTTGCCCTCAGTTTAGCAAATTTAATCACTATTTTAGTGTAAAAGTTATGTGAATAATCCTCCTCTTGGGTCTGTGTGATGATAAGGGGAACAGACGGGGCAATATAAAGGTTCTCTGTAACATTATTATCATTATTGTACCACAATGCACCTAAACCACAAATTTGTTGTATGATTCCATTTTGTAATGAACTTTTATTGCTTGTTGGCCTTCCTGTAACTCTGGGTCGCAGAGGCTCGCGGTGCAGAAGGTGGCAACTTTAATAGATGGTTTTGACTGGAAAGTCAGATCAGTACACCTGTTTGGAGATCTGGTACCCTTCCGCACCACCTGGTCGTCACCACCTGGAGGTCATGACTCACACCATTGGAGTCTGCATGTGCATTAGAGTAAAGGATTTTGCCCAAGTTATACATCTGAATTTTACCCTTGAAAATACTTACATTCCCACAGAAAATGTCATTTTTAAAATTTAAAATCTAGATGAATAAGTGTGCTAGAAAATTAGATACATTTGAAATTATATAATATATATGTATATTAAGGACTGTATTGTTCTTTCACACTAATACTTTGTAAAACAGATTTCTGTTTGTCTATTTGACAAATACAATAACCTAAATGTTCAAAGTTTTTACAATGTATGTGCTATATCACTGAAGTTTGAAACCAAATCCAAATCCAGATGCATATTATAAAAATATTGTAAAAATTACCAAATCTGAGGGCATTCATATATTAGCTTAATAGCTTTTGTCTGATTTCATTATTCAGATAGGAATAGTACGTAAAAAACCAAAAAATCCTCCTGGATTTATTGATTGAAATTGTTTACATCCAATATAGATCTCGAAAAAATCCAGATAGTTTACTCAGTTTAAAAGTTTACTACTTAATGCTAGAGTATTTCAGTTTGAAAGCGTTCGTTTTGTCTGCAGAACTCTTTGTCCCCCACCTCTGCTCATATCTGTCAAATGGTAGGCTGGCAGAGCCTGCCAGGTGCTGTCACAACAGCTCGATGAGTGACAGGAGAGTCATCAGATGAGGAGCTAAGATAACCCTGTCAACAATATCTAATGTCCCTAAAACAACTAACAGTGCTGGAGAGATGTTAACTAAAGTTCTACAGATGGAAATTTTCGGAGACGCATGGTAAACTACGTGTTTCGGTGCTTGATGTCAAGTGTTTGATAACCTTTTGAGCACCTCTGACAGGGATTTGACTGACACGCAGAAAATAAAAGGGAAAATGGTTTGAAAAATGATCCATTTAAAACATTTAAAAAACGTTGAATATCTTAGTTAGACAGGGAATGGTGGAAATAAAAAGGTATAGACTGGTTATAAGGTTTTTTGTAAAGCAGCCTTTTCTGATTTTTTTAAGCTGCCACTCTCAAACTGCAGAGGAAGGCATTTGCTTTAAAAAATCCAGCGACGTGGATACGGATGAATTGACGCTTTGCGTGCGTAACAAGAAGAAGCTGCTTACGCATTTTTTTCCTTTCTACGTTTTCATGTGGACAACCGATTTATTCCAGGACACATCGCTAATGCTTCTACTTGATTATGCGTACATGTTGTCCGTTGGAAGGAAAGAGTTAACTGAGCCTGTCCCGGCAACAATGAAAGCCAAGTGTGTCTGGAAGCCTTGTGGAGAATGACCACTATTTCACTATAGGATCTCAGTATCTATAATTGAATCACTTAAGCACTCCTGGCTATTAGCTGGCGAGAGGACTTGAGTATTAGCGAAAGGAAAGGATAGTGTGTTTTGCTCTCAGCGTCACAGGCATACAGATTCAGCACAGTGGAGCTGAATGGTGCACCTGCTCTTAGCACCTGCATTGTCTCATTATATGTATGCATCCACTCAAACATGTCTGTTTCTGGGCGTGCACACATCCCCCCATTTGTGGTTGAGTGTGCATACCAGCATGAATGTTAACCTATCTCCTCTTAAGATAATTGGTTGATACACCGTCGCCGTTAAATCGAAATTAAGTTGTTTGCGAGCAAGTTGCAACAACTTCGGCGTCCTGATTTCTTCCCTCGAGGCCCCGACTCCACCATCTGTTCCTATGAGGTGATGGAGGCGTGGTGGTAGACACAGATCTGTATTTGCGTGTGTGTCTATGCTCGAGTGTATACGTTGGGGATGGGTTGTTTCGGTGTGCGGTAGCTTATGCTTAATCAGAATATCTTTGGGGTGTTGATCTGTATCTTTTGAGCTGTGAAAAACTGGTTCGGTGTGACCAAACTGTGACATCGAGCTAGAGGGTCAGGTTAGTTTGGTGGAGTTCAGAAAAGATGGTCCGCCATAACATTTTGACCAGCTGGCTAATATAGCGAGGGATCCAAAAACCTCTGAAGGTGTTGAAGTTGCTTGAACAAGACCTTCAACATAGACAGTGCGTGTTACGTTATGAAAGTGACAATTTGTGACATTTATAACTGCACTGCAATCAGTCAAGTGATCACAGGTCTGACAGTAATCGCGTCTCAGTCACTTCCCTATCTCTGTTTGTGTTGAAAATGGGGTGTAACGCGACGGAAGCCTTTTGGAGACGCAAACACAGATTAGGAGCTCAGCATTCATGTCAACCTCTGGTGGCAATGAGACATCATACGAACAGTCAGTTGGACGCCGGCGACATGGGTGGGTGAAGCAACATGAGCATCTTTGACAAGAGCCAAGTTATTATGGCCAGATGACTGGATCACAGCTTCTCTGAAATGGCAAAGGCTTGTGGAGGGCTCTGACCCAGTGAGCTCGTTTTAAGCTCAGATGAGCAGAAGTCTGGGTAATGCAAAAACAAAACCCATGATTTGGCAGCTGCAGCTCTCTCCTCATTAGTTCTTTTGAAAAAAACAAAAACATCATTGGAATCAATCTGAGTTCCTGAATTGTATTGTCAAAACCCCTCATGCATTATGTGTTGTTGTCCTTGATGTACACACCATTGTTTTTCCTTTTTTGAATCAGAAGTGACCATAAAGAGAGAGCGGGAAACCAGATATATCGTGATTTTATTGAGGTGATTACAAATGAAGGGATTGAATGCAGTAGATAGAGCAGAATTGCCGGAAAGAAGTGACTGACATGAAACAGAAGAGGAGACGGAGGAAAGGGGGAAAGAGCAGGAGATGAAGGAGAGCGGGAGGGAGGAAGCGAATGGTGGGGATGGGAGAAATAGGATTTATTGAGGCTGCAGGGAAGAGCAGCGTGATAGCTCTCTGATGGATTAGAGGAATGCATGAGAAATTGAGTGAGGAGAGAAGAGTGTGAGGGGGGAAAAGTGAAGTTTGTGGCCCCCCTTAGGGTAGCTTTAAACACTAGTATCATTAATGTAGTTTAGAAAAGTGTGCTCGCTGAGAACTGCCTTTTATTTAAAGGACACCTGTGGGGATTAGAGTTGGAGAAATCAGGCTTGAAGAGGGGATTGATATGGACACTGTGACAGTCAGATAGAATAAATGAGAATTTCAGTTTTAAAAAAAAGAAGGGACTCAGGACATTTCTGTAGCCGTCAGTGGGCAGATAGCAGATGATGGGAAAATGAAAGAGTTCTGGTGCTACCAAGTATGAATGCAGTCTTTGTTTGAATTGAAAAGTGTTTCTTAATACTGAGGGTGTATGTTTGTGTCAATCTGTCTGTTGGACAAGGTGTATTTCTTTAGTCCAGCGGTTTTTCTTTGAGATGCTTGTGAAAGGAGTTTGTCTGTCAGCAGGAGAAAAAAGACCTTTCTCCACGTTTCATGCTGAATAAATATTTCATGCCTCAACGGAGAGAGACTTCAGGCAGTGATGATATTCTCTGAACACTGGTTAGTTCCAGCCGGAGCACTCTTATATGTTATCCACCCCAGTCAAGTTCCTTTGTTTGACTCTATCTGTTCAGCCCAGTGAAGGAAAACTGGAAACAAAGACCCCAATTAGTCAGGCAATTAGACTCTTGTTTTCTGTCCTCCCCCCTTTCTTTGAGTCCCATTCTAATAGCTATTATTTTCTCCTCCATCTCCCATTCGTCCTTCAATTGCTCTTTCACATTTCTTCTCATCTTGCACGAAGTTCCGTTTGAAAAAAAAAAACTAATCTCCGTTCTAATTTTTTTGTACAAGAAAGGATTTATTATTCTTTCATTTTCTGCTGCTCATTTGTTATTTATCACTCCTTCTCCATCTTTTTTCCGCTTGTTTCTCTGTCTCTTAATCGCTTTCAACTAGAGCCTGCCTTATCATCCATCAAGTTTTGTGTTACAGTTTAACTATTAGTTTCAAACACACACACACACACACTGGTTAACACCAGTGAGCAGGTGATGAGCTTGTTTTGTTAGTTTGGCCTTTTAAAACGAATTTCATCAATGCAGCATGATCATTTCAATATTTTAGAAGTCTTGAGTTGATGAATATTTTACAGTCAGCCCTTTTTCAAAATGATATCTTGTTTAATTCTTAGTTGAATCAGATCTTGAATCATTCTTTTTTTGTTTTTCAGAGCATGTCAGTTTACATCCCAAAACAAGACAAAGGGGAAAAGAGTCTGTAATCGGCATGCTTTTTCCCTCAGATCACATTAATGAAATATCTAATGCATCATCTTTGAAAATATGTTGAATCTGAGAAAATGTTAAGAAAAAGATAGAGATACTTATGTGAATAGAACATATCGATCCATCCTCTGTAGTTTATCCGTCTCTGGTCCTGAGTCAGATATATGTGTCTTTTGTTTGTCTTGATCTATCTCGATTACTTTTGATAAACCTTTTTTCTGAGATTATGGGTTTATGTTTGTGTTCTTTTTGTATATCTTGTAAATTATTTGGTTCCATTGGACGAATAAATTATATAGTTATACATATAACTATAGTTGTATCTGTTTGTGAAACAATGCCAAGTGTAGGAATGTTTTATGTTTGAATTCTTTAAGTCGGAGCGAAGAGCAAAAATGCTGAGGATCATCTCATATACCGGGAGATGTTACGTATTCATGAGAGGGTGACCTTAGCATGCAGCCCCTGCTCCCCTGCACCTGCAGTGATTTATTGGTTACAGGACGCTGGGCAGCCGGATGATGCTCCGGCGTTTATGCCCGGGGCGACACCTGACCATCCCCCTCCAGCTTTTGTCCTTCCCTTTCAACTCAGTCAGCCACATCAAGAATAAAAAAGACCGAAAACTTCTCTCAGAAACCTCATTTATGTGTACAGATTTAATGTCAAAAAATCTACCCATTTTTTTTTTTTGTCACTTCAGATTGTTGTTTATTTCCACAAACCTTTTCATATATTTCATGATGAAAAAAAGCAAAGGAAATTTAAATTAATATTTTCAGGAGTTGTTTAAACACAGAATTTATATACGGAAATGACAGATGCACTCACAAAGACTGCTAAGCCCCTGGATGTGTACAGCAAACACCAAAAAAAAAAAAAAAAGCAAGAGCATATGATTATGACTGACTGTAGTTTATGTGCATATTTTTTGAGAGTTAATGTTCTGTAGAGCGATGTTTTTCATTCTGCTGCGAGTGCTGGCCTATTATCCCGGATGTGTTTTTATATAAGATTAAAGAATGTCACTTTCAATGCATATTTTATTGGTTTTGGGAATAAGATACATCGTCAAACGGTAAATCAGCCTGTACTCAGTCTAAGCAGAGTTTCACTGAATTACTGCAGCTTGGATGAGTGGAAAATGTTGATTTATGTGGAGCATTGATTTTCTTCCTCATGGTCTCACAAGGAGTGTTTTATTCAGGTCCCGAGGCCTAGAACTGCGCTGCTCACTGTCATCTTGTCACCATCTTGCCTGTGGCTTTTAGTTACATGTTAAGTAGATAACCCTGTTTATGCTTAACCTATTCTTTTGTGGCTGTCTCATACGTTTAAAGTGAAACTGTTTGCATCAACATAGATTTACCTCACTTGAATTCTTTTTTTGCGATGCAGAGATAGGCCTGGTTACAGGTCTGTTCTGGCACAACAACAGTCATTATGTTGACAGAAGCGTGGGTCTTTGATTAGATCCCAGGGATCCGACGGTCCACCAGAATTTAGCTGGAAACAGAAAATGTGCAGCATGTATATTTCCACCGTTTGTTTTGATAGATTTTTACAAAAAAAAAGTCAAAAGAAAAAAAAGTTGTTTTAAAATGAAAAAGATTCCGTCTTGTCAAAGTTTTTTTTTGTTCTATTGCATGAACACACGCTTTATTCTGTTTCCATTTCCCTCTGGTCTCATCATAGTATAGTTTATAGATTTTCTGTTTCTTGTGGGAAAAAGGCAGCTATTAATGCCATTACTGTGTGTTTTGCTGTTGAGTGAACATTTTAGCAAAACCTGTGGCTCCACGCTGCACCGTGCTGATTAGGGCAAATGGAAAAAAGGAAATTAAGGAAAATACTAGTTTATCCAGTTGAGTGGCTTCAAGGTGGGTGTTTAGGTGCGTTTTTTATTCTGTTTGACCATAAATAGATAAACCAAAATATAATCAATGTGGATTTAACCATTTGATTTGGGAAAATAAATGTGGAAATGAGGTGTTAAAAGGTGTTGGCCTGACACTGACCCTACACTGATCCTGAAACTGAAGCAAGTAATTTAGTTTTTAAAAAACCAAAAGAGAGAAGAGAAGCACAAAAAAGTGTTATTCATGAAAAGACCTGATGAATAACCCATTGAAGTAAAATTACTTGGTAGAAACAGAGCCTTCCAGAGGAGCCTCACTCAGAAATGCTGATGGTGAGAACCTAAGGATTGCAAAGGCAAATGTTTAGTCTAGAATCATTTCTACTCTGCATCTACAAACAAGGAATACTATCTCAAAGAAGCCACCACATAACAAGGAAGCTAATTTGATGTAAACTCTGTTCTTTCTTTAGCCTGATCTCATCCCGGAGGTACTACTTTGAGATCCTTCACAAGCAGGACGACAAAGGCTCAGATCACGTGGAGGTTGGGGTAAGTTAACCCATTCTGAAAAGTCACAGCAACTATTTTTCCCCGCCTGCTTGGTTTCAACTCTGGCTCTCAGTGTATAGAAAGAGTTTCAAACACCCGGAAGCAGGCCTGCCCTGGTTTTCTAACATCTAGTTTTAACTTTGTGTTGTGTGATTGACGTTGTGACAGTCACTGTGCTGCAGAGAGAGGAAAGCAAAAGCTTTTCGTCCTTTATTCAGCATTTTCTTTTCAATATTTGCTGACTTATTTGGTCACAACCATATGCAAAAGACCTCTCCATCTTGTTGCTGTCTCCTGACCAGAAAAGGAAGGGAGAGCACCGCCTCATTTATGATCTCGTCCTTTTTCATCTCTTCTTCTGCCTCCAGCCGTCCCTTTCACCTAACTCTGTTTTCATCAATTTCCTCTTCGTGTCTGTGTTCTCCACCATTCTTTTAATTTCTCCTCCCATCTGCACTAGCTCTCCTCTCCACCAATCTCTCTCCACTGGTGTTCTGCACCTCAGGCAAAGTTCAGAATGAGTGGGGCTTAATTTCAAGATAAAGTTTCAAACAAGAGCCCACACACCTCGTGTGAGGCTGCACTCTGAGTGGGTGGGCAGATTATAGAGAGAGATAGATGATGTGTGTGTGGAATGAATTTCCTAACAAGACTTAGATTGTCATCATCATGATGATAACCTGAGGCTCCTGGGTTTGCTTTATTCTCATGTAGAGCTACCATGTCATTAGGTCACCGTGAAAGAAATGTTGATTTTATTATTTGTATTTTTCGTTCTAGTCCTATCTTTTCTTTATTACCTGCCTACTAAGTTAATAATTGTTTTGGAGGGAACGGGCCTATTGTCAACGTGTAAAAGATTCCTTCTTACTTAGGTCTTTGAAGCATCTTCCCTGATGACCAGAAAACTCCATTGATCCTTGAAAACGTCCTGTTCCCTCTGACGCTGGAGGCTTTGATCACAGCATTCTGTTATTTTCTCCAGTCTTGAACTTGAACAATTAAGAAGCATCCCACAGGCTAGAGCCAACACTGGCAGTATAGGTTTTCTGGTGTGGTACTCCAAATAAGGTTTCTTTAGTGTACCTTTTAGAACAGCTCTTTCACATTCTTGAAAAAGCCCTCTAGTTGTTGTTCCCCTTTCTTGGCTGCCACTTTGTGAGTCACAGCCAAATCTCACTCAGAGGGTGAGGGTGAAGCTCCAAGTTGTCTTCATTGGTAAAAAAACAAAAACATCTTAGCCCTCCTCTCTGATTACATTGTTGCTCACCGTTCAATGCTTTCCTATTCCTAGCATTTATAAATGTAAATATGTAATATATATATATACATATACATATATTTATTTTCATTTATTTGTTGCTGTAAATTATTTGTCATCCATTGATCACCCCTCTTTATACTTTCCACGGTTGCCTTGTGAGAGAGCATTCCTTCTTAATGAGGTCTTAATGGCTTCTACTAAGGTTAAATAGTAAACTGAGTCATGAAGGAGAAATAAAACTTTCTGAGAAAATGGAAAGAAACAAGGTGTCCCCTTCTAGTATTTGTCCTTCCATTCTTCCTGATAAACTTGTCAGACATCAAGACAAGCGTTTATCGATTATAACTAATGTAATCATCTGAGGCAAAAAATCCATCTTTTGTTTAACCCCCCCCCCCCTCCACACACACACACACACACACACACACCCAGGACCAAGCACCCACAAGGTCATCAAAATAAGTTTTTCCTAGTGGGATCAATTCAATGTAGCTTATAACAGTCATACAAAGGAATTATGTGGAGGAATGTGTGTAAATGTGTTAAACCACTGTCTCAGTAAGGCCACTGCATGTGATTTCACAGCAGAATATATTTCACACCTTGACAAAAATAGCATATTTACCATGACCGGCCTACAACAACATAAGCCCAGGGCTCACACAAATCCAGACATTCAGGCTCTCATTTGTTAAAGAGCACATAGTGGAGATTCACGGCTCCTCCCTGGATTTTCTATGTGAAGCTGTGATTGCAGTTAAAGGTGGACTCTTCCTCAGGGAGCCTGTTTGTTTATCGGTGATTCTTTTGAATAAATGAGAGGGTGTAAATGTCAAATAGTACTTGGCGCACACTGAGAGCTTTGGCCAGAGTGTAAAACTGATAATTTGTTGTTTTTCTTTGTTGGCTCGTTTCTGTTTGGATGCATTTAGGAATTAGAAAGCATGGGTGCTATTACCTGCAACATAAATGGCATCAGTAAGAAAGAAACTATCAAATAAATGTTCTCCTTTCCCTTGGGGACACGTGTCTATGAACAGCAAGTCACCTTTTTTTCCCTCCTTTTACATCAAATGAACTCTTTCTAGAGGAACGGGTGGCTGCTTAACATGATAGATGAATTTGTGGGCATTGGTTTCATTAACTTTCTTAATTACCATCTGGATCTTTGTCAGGGAAACACAGGACCTTTTACACACGCCTAATGGAAAACATCTATTGATAGAGCCTGACAGAATGAAGGAGAGTGTTGGCCATTAAACAGTATGATTGAGAGGATGACGGAGGGAAAGAAAGAAGAGAGGAAAGTCATGTTTTAATTAGCAATGGCAAGTTTATAGAGAGACAGGGGCGTGGGATTAAAATGCAGGTTTTTAATTGCCTTGTTTTAGTACTCCTGCCAGACCAAGTCTCAAACTGCAGACCAATTGATACACAGGGATGTCTGTAAACCCTCTCCAAACACTCCTGGGTAAATTTAAAGAGGAATAAGTACACATATACACACATACATACACACCTCATCATCTGCTACACTCTCTATCCTCTGAGTAAAAAAATCAGCACTGGTCCAAAGACTGTGGAGCCAGCTGTTTAAGAACATTGTGCGTGTCCTGGTTCACAGATTAATGAGCCTTTTCTCATTTTCTTTACATGTACTTCGACATATTTTGATGTGTTCTTCACTTGGTCCCACTTAAATTTGACAATGCCTTCTCCTTAATGTTTAACTTCAAACATTCTTTCACACTTTTATTCCATAGCTCTTTGTCAATGTCAATTGAATTGAACTTAGGTTGATTCTAAGATGCATTTTGATGCATTTTAACGGTCCAGATTGTTTTTGCCACGCGCTTTGATCTGTTTCTACAGAATCGGATTTCTTAGCTTGAAAATCTTTACCTTTTCCCTATTGTTGTGGCAAATGAAAACTGTTAAAGATATTTGGATCAATGTTGCTACATTGAGGTTTTTTATTTGGTGGATTGATCTGCCCCTTATCTACCCATTTTTAAATATTAATTTGCATGGGCTGATATCTGAACATACGATACCTGATCTGATTAAACGTGAACGAACATACTCTCATATCTCTTACCTCATTCTGCATATTAGATTTAGATATGATGAAAAACACTGGAGGCCTTTTTTCTTTTGAAAAGATGTTTTCGCCTCTCTACTGACAAAACCAGCAAGAGTTTGATTTTCAACCTGGCACTGGTAGTGTTAGGTAATGATGTACAGATGGTTCATCTGATCACCCATGAAGATTTTCTTTGTGCCAGCCCTCTCCCGAACAGTTTCCACATATGACTTCTCAGAGGACTCTGCGCTACAAACCATCTGGCATGTCAACTTACATGTTTGGGAGTCTGATTAACTTCAGCATTTAGAAATGGATGGATGTTCTTTACTTTGTGACTTCCAGAGGCTGCTGTAATTGCCATTCTTTACAGATTGAATGATAATGGCAGGCTTATCATCTCAGCTCGCTCTTTTTTTTAAGCATTGATAGGGTTAGACGTGGAAATTGAGTTTTTAGTGAAAATTCCTACTTACAGTGAGAAAATGACATTTTCTCACTAATTATAACACTAATTAATTTGTACTCCTTTGTGAAATCTCACCAGAGAAGCATTTACTCTTGGCCTATTGGAATTTAAAGCTGTTAGCAGGGCTAATTTTGAATCCAGTTTATGCCATGTTTACTGTTGTCATCATGCAGATTTGATTGGACACATCCCAAAGAGAACAACTCTACAGACGACATGCCATGTCAGCGTTAGCACCGAAGCTACGTGGTGCCTTGTCAAACACATTCAGTGTGCCCTTGTCATGTAAACCTTAATATGCTTATGCAATTCTTATAACGCGTAGTCTTTTTCATGGCGAGTCATTTTGTATGCCAACATTCAAATACCATAGGAAATCACCCGTACATTATGAATGAATTTTTATGTCCTTGTTTGATTGTGGATGTCTCCACAGTTTGCATGATTAGTAGATGACTTAAGTTATTGTTTATTTTAATTGTTTGTTTTTCTACGCCTGTCTGCATATCCTGACCATGCACTTTTTCATGTGATTGTGGGCTCCATGGATTCGGCCAAATAACTACTAAAAAGGTTGATTTGAAATGACACTGCTGGTGTGAGAAAACATTTATTTCCTAACAGCTATCAGCGCATTGCTGTTAATGCAATGACTATGACATTCTAGTAATTGCTATAGCTATTGCACTCATTTCTCTCTGAGATGTCATGTCTGAGAGTCTCTGGCTAATGTATAATTCAACATATAAAATCAAATACCCCATCGCTGTATCCACCTCCTCATCTCTGAATATTGTTCTTTTATCTTCAGGCAAGGCATGACATGACATGAAAAATAACCCGCTGTGTTCATGTCAATGACTTGGAATTGAGCGTGGCATTTATCCTCAAGCATGCAAATGTTTAGTTCTGTTGTAAGTTGAAAAAGAGAGCAGCGTTTTTCTGTTTGCCTTTGTTTCCATGCTGTAGTTTTTGGTTAGTCTCGTAGGTTTTGAGGTGGTTTAGCGTTTATTTGCCTCTCATTTTCTTGTAAGACCATTCTACATTAGTATTGGCAAAGTACTGAAACCACAGTGCCGTTTTGGGTATATTGTGCTCTGAGACAACCCCAGTGCAGGTACTAAGCCTGTCAGGAACACAGTAAATCCATGTTTCTCTGCTGCCAAGAACCTGCCATTGATTGAACTGCACCGTCATTGAGCAGAACACCATGTGTTTTCCATTCATTTCAGATTTGAAATCCACACTTTGTTTCTTATCCTAGGAATTCTGTGATAGTGTTTTTAATTCATCTAATTTAGAAATAAAGTTTTTTGTCCTAAGTTGACACGTTTCCCCTCACAGCAAGAGGGTTCCCGGTTTGAATCTTGGCTGGTGGGCTTTTCTGTGAGGAATTAGTCATTGAGTCATGCTCTCCCCGTGTAGGCGTGGGCTTTTTCTCCAGGTTCTCTGGCTTCCTCCCACCATCCAGACATACTTGCTAAGTTAATTGGAGACTGAATTGCACATAGGAGCCAGTGAGAGTGAATGGTTGTCTGCCTTGTTTGTGTCTGCGTGGCCCTGTGAGGGACTGGTGACCCGTCCAGGGTGTGTCCATCCTTTCTCTTAATGACAGCCAAGCTGAGCTCCAGTCAACCCAGCTGGGAATAATCGAGCATAGAAAGTTGACGGACAGATGGTTGAAAATTTTTATTATTGCCATGGCATTTCCTTCTCACAAAACAGCATGTTATTGTGTTAGAGAGGAGATGTTTATTGGTTTCTGCACACAAAGTAGCTGCTGGGTACTTTGTTTCTACATACATGACAGCGATATAAAAAAAGACACTTTAATCTGAACCCCTAAGCCAAAAAGTGAATCAAAGAGAGGCATGTTAAGATAATTAAGTCTCTCCCTCATTAGCTTGTAAGCTGTCACTTTGCCTTCTTTGCACCACAACAACAGGGCATAATTCTTGTTAGGAACATGCCATTTCCAATGAAGTCACTGTTGCTAAGACTGAGCTGTTGTCTGGCAACTGTGTATTTGTTTATGAAGAGTTTGATTTTTTGCCACTGAGTTTACTGAGTTCACCATCATCAGTCATACTGATCCTGTTTCTTTTTGTATTCACTTAAGACTAAATCTGAACTCTGAGTAGCTCGCAAAAGACAAAAAATGGATCATTTTCTCAGTAAATGTAAATCAAATTAGATATTTTTTACCATCTGTTTGAAATTATATTGCATTCACGATACATGCTGCATATTTGAAAGAGCTGTGTCTAAATAGCCAGTGAAAATACCAAATATGTCCAAAGTCCAAAACTTTTAAACTTTGTCTTGTTTATGTACTTACACATTGCCTGAATACACTCCACAAGTAAGACACCAAAAGAAATCCCTATAAATCCGGAGATTTTAGAAAAACTTTAAAATTCTCCTCTCAAGGCCTGTTGTTGCATCTTCAAAATAATAATAGAGTGTTTGAGAATTTTCTCACAGATGCGTATTCCCCTCTTTGGTGGAGGTTTTATAACGACGACACACCGGCTTAGAATGGCAGTGTGCTTTCTGTCATAGTTGTTTTATCAGTTGGGTGTAAGTAAACCTTCTGCAACTCATAAGTTGTCTGAACTTTTTGTTCGTTGACTTAGGCTGTGACAGCTTGCCCTTGAAGACAACCTGAAATTATGGCTCAATGGCTGAAAGTCCTCGGCGGCCCGCTGAGCCGCTCCCTGCTGCCGCACAGCAGGACGTTACACTTTGTCCTTGTTTGCTGCTCTTCTGTTTGTGCCCCTCTGTGGGTACCGTCTTGGTACCTCTGTATCAGCGCAACAACACGGGCGTGAGCCACTGTCATGCACTGTGAATGAAGGGGAAAACAAGCAGTTGTTGGGACATTCATAAAAGACTCAGAAAAAAATAAAGGCGCGTGTGCTTGTTGTCCGCACACACATATGTGCATTTGTATCGGCTTAAAGAGGGCGTTTATATTTGTATTCTAAAACCGAGGGCTGGAAAATGATCTGTCTCCTATGATTATATCTTGGGTAACTAGAAGTGACGAGGTAATTGTGAAATCTATGTAAAAGAATTGTAGCCTGCCTCTTTATCTCTGTCCTTCTCTCTCAGAGTTTGTGTGTTTGCAGGTCGTTAGTCCTTTTTTCTGTTTAATACCGACTCTTCGTAGCCTTCTCCATACATAAGTGCTTTTGCTGTGCTCACAGTCTTTTGTCCCAGAATTTTTGCTCCTCATTTGCTTCCTTCCTAACGTTTGGTGGCATCACATTTCTCTCTCTATCCGTGTTCCCTTTTGTTTCCCCTGTTCTCTCAGGATAAGTGTGTTTATACAAAAACCCAGCATCGTATCGATCCTGTGATGTTGCTCAGATCAATAACACAATGTCACACTTTAGCCAGCGAACTGTGAGAAAAGATTACAGCTCAGCTTTTACTTTTCACGTGTTGTCATGTAGTTTTTTTTTGTTTTGTTTTTGTCATTACTCAGTTCCTGTCCTCTGCCTTTTTGCTCCCACACAGTGGCGTCCATTCCTCCCTGGTCTGAAATACGAGGTGATAGACTCAGCCTTTATCTCCCTGTATACAGGTAAGAGCTATTAGTTCTACTCAGTGTGTTAGTTGGTCAGCTACTCTCTCCTGTTGTCTGTGAAATTAATTCAATTAGATGACCCCATTTTTTGTGAAAATATGGATGTGTATTTGTATTTGAATCCAAGACACACTTGGAATAAGAAAGAATAGGAAATCATGTGTTGGAGAAGCTGAATGTTTCTTTGGAAAATAACAAAATGGTGCCTTTTAAATCAGGTATAGATCAGTATAGAATCAATATTTTTGTAATTGTATGTGTTACTGTCTTATTGTTATTAAAGTAGTCATTTAAAATTACATTAAAAGCTGTACATTTAGCAATTAGAAGCATGTCATATCTTCCCCATGCGGGGTAAAGGAGAGGACTGAATTCAAAACCAGCTCTGTTTTTCACTACAGGTGTCCTCCGTTGAACAGATGAGAGCTCTCGCTTCTGAGTAGATATTTAACCTCTGTAGCTCCAAGAATAGTAATGTCTCATAACGATTTGGTAACAGGAGAAAATGCCAGCTGCTCAGAAAATGATGTGTAGAGTTGTCATTTGGGCCAAGCTGCAGCAGGACCTGGGTCTATGCCAAGTCCTGCCATCTTGTTTTTGACAAATTATGACAGAGAAGAATGAGCCCTCACACCGTAAATGAGGTCACCTGTTGGATTCAGGCATTACCACCTCATCATTTCTCTTCTTCCACCACCCATCCATCCCTCCTTTCCCTCTATGTCACACCCTATAGTTCACTAGTTTTCTCCATGCACTCACTCTGGAAAGTATCTGTTATTCATTAGAGGTTGAGAAGAATACTTCTTTAGAGTCTGATTAGGTCACTGATTAAATCTAGTGAGCATTATTTTATTTTTCTGCTGCAGAAGCACTCCCCCCTTCAGTTAGTTACAACCTTACCAAACAATATGCACATCAACTTTTTTCAAAGTAGTAGGCTCTGAAACGCTTTTTTCCAATTACGTTATGTATAAAATAAGTCTGAAATGTGGCGTACTGGCTTTTTTAACAGTTGAATGCTCATATTTGTCAACAAATCTGTATCTAATAAAAAAGAAACTCATTAAAATTCCTAAATTATTCAAATTAGTCAAAAGTTAAATGATTTTCTACACTGTTATACTACTTATATTTATTCTGACCCAGTATAGTGTAACGTAAACATGAAATTTCACATATGCAATTGATATTGTAACTTATCAACAAATGTTATTGTTCCTACTATTTTTTAAAGGTTTGCTTTTTGTTGCAAATGCACACAGACATACACACACGGACTAAATGTGCCCACTCCACCCTCTAGAGGTTGAAATGATGCTGACCAACCTGTTAATTACAAGGCACTTCTCCCATCAGGCTTTGGTACTGACACGCCATTAATCACACATATTCTCTTCTCTGTCCCTGCTATCGATTGGTATAATTATGGCTCTGCTGTGTCCTGTTTTTGTTTACTTGCAGTGTTTTTGTTTCGTTAGATTTAATTCTGTTTTATTTAGATAATGCTAAATCAATTGTCAACGACTGACTGAGGGCTGAGAGGACAGATAATATGGAAAAACTGACCACAACACCAGGTCGGGGATATTTCTGGATTTCCCCAAATATTTGAGCTTAGGGAATAAAGAGATAAGAATGAGGGAAGGTGCATCATGGGAACTGCCCCAGTAGTCTAGGCCTATAACAATACATCTATGGTATGTTTCAGGCTCTTCTGAGCCACATCTATAACTATAAACTGTTTTTTTAAAGAAAGTTCTTAGCCTAATTTTAAATGTAAGGAAGTTGTACTATATGAACTCAAACTGGCACCTGGTTCCACAAAGAGGACTCTCCCACTCTACCGTTACACACTTTAGTAACCACAAGTAGATCTGTACTGTTACAGTCAAGTGCTCTGTTAGGGGGGGGGGGACTGCACTCTAAAATCTACAGGATATGATCAAGCTAGGTCATTAGGAGCTTCATATGCCAGGAGCAGAATTCAAAATTCTATTTCTGTAATTTACAGGGAGCCAATGAAGGGGAGCTAAAACGGGAGAAATATGATCTTGTCTGCTATTTCCCATCAGATCTCTGGCTGCAGCACTTCGGATCAGCAGGAGGCTTGTCAGAGATTTTGTGAGACAGCCCAATAATAAAGAACAGTAGTTCAATCATGATGCGACAAATGCCGGGAAACCTGTTTCATATAAAAGTCAGAGGACAGATCCTTTTGACCTCAAAGAAATGCCAGAGTAGGTGTATAGGAAGTGAGTTTTAGCAGAGAATTTAGCAGAGAATCATCTCCTTTTATGAATATTCTCCTTTCACTGTCCCTGTTTCCATTTTTCTATCATCAAGTGTGAATACTTAAAATGACTTTTTAATAAGCAGTGTACATTTTTGCTCATGTTAACAGCATAAAATCAATTAAAAATGTTTTGTTTTTTTGATAAAAATAAGTGTCCCTCTCATTATTTTAACGAATCACCAACATTCCCCTCTTTTTTCGCCCAGATGAATCCAATCTGAAGATGAACAGTGTGGACCACATCCCACAGACCTTGGCCAGTCACATCCGTCTCCCAGAGGAGTCTCAGCCTCGGGGTTCGGAGGGAGGCACCGTCATACTGCACGGAGCCGATATGCTGAAGCCAGATCCCAGGGACACTTTTTACAGCAGTTAGTCTTCCAGTCATACATTTTTAGTGTCCTTCTATATTTTCCTTCATCCTGATTTTAAACCTTATTTTATTGAACTGCCCAATTATTCTGGTTCGCTGTCTCTGCAATATTTCTGCTCTATTAATACCATTGTTGAATCAAATGTGTTGTGTTTAATTCATGTGTCTGTATGTTTTCCTCCTTTTTTCACTAATTACGTATTTTTCTTAATACTTCAATGCGGCCAGACTTGAATTTCATGCACGTCGTTGATTATATTGTCAGATAACCTTTCTCTCTGTTTCTTTATTTAGCTCCAATGATTGACCCTTCTCGCCTGGAAAATGTTCTTCCTGCATGTCTCTACTCTCCGACTTATGTAGTCAAAGATTTTCCCATCGCCAGATACCAGGGGCTGCAGTTTGTAAGTCGCAAAAGAGTGAAATGTGTATCTGTACTCACTTCTTTATAAATTGCCAGATCTGGCGTAAGTTAGATCCACAGGATCATCGGACAAATAAACAACTTCTGACCCTTTAATCCCCTAGAAAGAGTCACACAGACTGAATTCAATATTTAGGGAGTGGTGAGAGAACAGCGTAATAGAGGCACTAAGTCAACAGGATGGAAGAAGTGGGCAGATGTTAGGCGCTGCTCCCCCCTGTGGGGTAACACGTGTTACTGCAGCAGAAACAATCAACTAGAAAAGATCTCCAGTTTACACAGTGGATCTAGTTTAGAAACCGTGGGAGTAATTCGTTTGAAATGGGAACAAATGTGTGGAGTGGTAGATTTTAATCCAAAATGATTTTAATCTTAAAGGGAAATTCACTCATCCTACATTGATTGTTTATTTAAAGTTGAGTTTTCAGGGTTCTGGTACAGCTCTGGCTGACATGTAACTGTTCTTCAGGTCTACCTGTCCTTTGTCTATCCGAATGACTTCACTCGCCTCACCCACATGGAGCGAGAGAACAAGTGTTTCTACAGAGAGTCCCCTATCTATTTAGAAAAGTAAGGACATTTGTTTTAATTACCTACAAGCATTAAATAAAGTTTCACTCTGTCTCATTTATTTCGGCAAAACCAATGAAGTTCACGGAAGTTCACATGACTTCTGACAAATTTTTACTAACAAAAATTTCAACCTTCTGTTGGGTGGGTGTGTAAATTGCCTCTTCTTTTGTCTGCCAGGTTTGGTTTCTACAAATATATGAAGATGGATGAGGAAGAAGACGACAGACCATTCTTTTTCCCTAACCCAGATGGTAACTAATTATTAGCAAACACACTTCATGCGAATGTGTGTGTGCACACATGCTTTAACAACTTTGACTCTCCTTCATGTCACACTACCAGATTTCCTTGAGGAGGAGGAGGTGGTTGACACAGAGGATGAGTCAGAGATTGTTGGCACACAGTTGCCCAAACAGCCCTCTCGTCCAGATCAGGCCAGCCACACTTCAAACCCCTCCCATCAGCAGTTGAAACCAGGGCCCACACCAGATGCCAGGGAAGGGAAGGAGGAAGAGGACGACCATAACGAAGACGAGGAGGGAGCAGTCAACAGTTTCGTCGGCCACAGAGAAAGGAGACAGTTTCCACACCGAGATAGACAGATGGGCGGTGTTCTGGAGAGAGAGTGGGGAAGAAACAATGCCAGGGGGAATATGAGACAGGATGCTGGGAGGGGACTTGAAGTAGAACCCAAGGCTCTTCAGCCGGATATTGACACTATGGTACGGGGTCGCTCTTTGTCCTGGATCCACACTGATCTGACAGACTTGCACCCAGTCAAGAGAGAAGAAGAAACAGGTGTCGGGGGAGGAGACAGAGGCATGGAAACTCCACATAAACTTAGAAAGTCCTCTCTTCTTTTCCCCCAAAAGTCCTCCCTCTCTGCCCTTGCAAGCCGCGCCAGGCAGATACTCAGCAACTCCGCCCACAGCACCCACCCCGGTAATAACAGCAACAAGCTTGCTGGAGAGAAGAAGAAGGAGAAGAGGGAGGAGAACAAAATCTATATCACCAGGCCCCGGCCCGCAAAAGACAGGGAAAGAGAGAGAGAACAGCGGCGAGAAAGGAGGGAGGAAAGGGCATCTCGCCACCCAAGAGAGGTTTTCCCGGGGGTCTTTCTGTATCAGACAGGGAAGACCACGAGGTTGGTCAATTTGGGATCCAAAGGACAAGGCGGAGGGGGTGCAGTAGGCGTTAGGCGGCTTATTGGTGCCCCTCAACTCTGGCCCAACCCTCCCACTAGAGAAGGTAAGGGAACGCCTCACAATCGAAACATCAACATGCAGCGTGAAACTGCACAGCGGTCAGCCAACAAAGCAACAGTGAAACAAGCAGAGAACAGCAAGAGGAGAGGGGAGCACCACGACTCCAGGACCCCCGTCACAGCCGACCAGCCCGGCAAAGGAGAACCCCCGAACGCATCCTCCAACCACCGAGAGCGCCCCCCTCCCCCGGCCACACCGCCAAGCTCCAACTCCACGACCAACCCAGTCCAAAGTCAGCTACGGGTGACTTCTTACCTCAGAACCTCGGAGATCACAGAGTCCCAGCAACAGCCGGGGGCGAACCTCAACCCTGCGGGCGCCGACCAAGATACGAACCGCTCCAATCCTGAGCCCGATCCCGAACAAGAGCCCGAACCAGAACCGGAGGAGGGGGAAATGTCCGACTACAGCTACGAAGAGGTTGAGGTTCGCCCGGGCTGGGCAGAGGAGAGCATCAACTGGCAGAGGACGTTCTCGGTGAACCCCATGGACTTCGAGCTGCTGCGCTCCGACTGGAACGACCTGCGCTGCAACGTGTCCGGCAACCTTCAGCTGGCAGAGAGCGAAGTGGTGGACGTGCTGGCGCAGTACATGGAGAAACTCAATGAACGCAATGGAGGGTAAGCGTTAAATTAAAGCCCAAAGGGAGTGTTTGCCTCAAATCTCAAATCTGTCGTTTTTTGCTTTCTGCCTGCTTAAGCATGCAAAGCAAAAGCAATAGTTAGGATGGTTTCAGAGAGAGAACATTTCAAGCCTTAATCTTTAGCCTGTGTGATTGTGTCTGGGCACTTGCGACCTCTCTCTGTGTTCTTAATATTCTCTTTGTGTGCGCCTCAGGATCTACACCCTGCTGCGAATCATCAATGTTGAGAAGCGGCGCGACTCTGCGAGGGGAAACCGTTACCTGGTGGAGCTGGAGCTAATGGAGAGAGGCCGCAGCGTGGTGCGCCTCTCAGAATACATTTACCTGCTTCTCCACCGTGGCAGACAGGGAGAGGAAAGTCTGGAGAACACAGAATCGGCCCAGTCCTCTGCACCAGCCTCGCCACCCTCTGCCGCCACGAGCAGCTTCACCACCCCGACCCCACCTCCGTCCACCGTCCGGCCGGGAGCGACGCCATGGAGCACCGCCTACGCCAAGCCTCTGCTCTGCCAGCCGGTCATGCTGCAGTGGAGGAAAGATGTCATGGTTCACTTTGTGGTACCAGGTCAGTCAACATGACTCCGCACCCAGAGAGCGTTCGGTATTTGTATTTGTTTAATTTGTTCGGTGGAAATGCCAAAAACGTGTTTTCATTTCCTTTTGCCCTTTTCTTACTGGCATTCAGTGAAAAATCAGGCGCGCTGGGTACAGCAGTTCATCTCGGACATGGAAAATCTCCATCACCAGACGAAGGACGACAACTTCAGCATCATTATTGTCGACTTTGAGAGTGAAGACATGGATGTGGAGCAGGCTCTTCGGGACAGTAGTGTGCCAAGGTGTGTGCATCCTTCAAGCAGGCTCATAACATGAACTGGAAGAAATGTAGGACAATTTCTGTTTATGTATATATTTATTTTGACAGATACGAGTACCTGCGGAGAGAGGGGAACTTTGAGCGCTCAGCGGGACTGCAGATCGGAGTGGATACCATTGAGGTTAGAGAACAAAACACAGAGGGAAGTCAACAATATGTGAACTGGCAGGGAAAAAGTCACTTGCAGATGGTCGGAGACTCATACCGACCGCACGTCTTTTACTGACTGATGGACAGATGGAAAGAACACTCATGCATAATGAAGCTATGGCTGCCGGGCCGGTCTGTCACGGGCTGCGGGTCGGCCTTATCTTCAAGTCTCCTCCTGCCTGCTTTGGCCCTCTCCCGCAGAGCCCGGCTTTGGTTGACGGGGAATCGCTTAGACAGATAGCTTGCGTATCTTCCATTTTGTGTATGCCATAGCTGTCACATCCACTCCCTCTCACAGGTTATTTCTGTGCATGTGCCCCTACTCCATTCTGTGATGGTCATCACATGTGCATAAACACTAACCCACAGGGAGTGGCTGAAGATCTGGAGAGACGTTGATCTGTCGGCTAAGTGTCAGTGCTGTCAGTGTGGCACGACAGAGCTGTCACTCATGTCTGAATTATCGCTCAGCTCTTGAAGTAATGACAAGCCACTGATGCTGAACACAGACCTCTCCTCTCTCGTTAATCCTAAAATCCTGTATTAGGCAAAGGGGCATATTCACATAAGCGCACAAATGACACACAAATTGGACATATTGAGATGCAATAAAGATGTAAATCGATCTGTGTTTGGATTTCCTCATGCAGGACAGTCACAGCATCGTGTTCCTGTGTGATCTGCACATCCACTTCCCTCTCAATATCTTGGAAAGCATCAGGAAACACTGCGTAGAGGGACGCCTTGCTTTTGCTCCCATTGTCATGAGGCTTGGCTGCGGTAGCTCACCAATGGAGCCTGATGGTAAGAGGTTTGCAATTAGACAAATTTTAAATATTCAAGGACATAGAAAATCCCATTTACCTATAAGTTATAAGTAACTTTTTTTTTCCAATCATCCATTTTTATTCAAGGTTAATTCACATATTTCTATCATTTGATCTCTCAGGGTACTGGGAAGTAAATGGCTTTGGCCTTTTCGGGATCTATAAGTCCGATTTTGAGAAGATTGGAGGAATGAACACAGAAGAATTCAAAGACCGCTGGGGCGGAGAGGACTGGGAGCTCCTGGATAGGTAACGCAGTGGTACACAACATAAAGCCTACGATGTCATATTAATGTTTGTCCTGTGTGTTTATATTTGTATTACCCAGAAGGCTTTAATAATTATGAACCTAAAAATTCTTAAAACTGACAACATTTACACGGATCATTCAGAACTTTAAGCTTGAGGCCTAAAGCTGGTGTTTTTTTCCAGTTATCTCCAAAATGTTTGTTCTTTAAAATAAAGAACAAAAAAAAGACTTTGTTTTAAAACCTTAACTAATCTACCTCTATGTTCAGTCTATATTGTCCTTTTATAATGTATTTTTTTCTATTTTTATTATTACATTAAAAAAAAAATCAAATTCAGGACTGTGCTCAATATTTTCTGTTGCCAACTTTGCCATCAATTTTTAAATGATGAATTCATGTTGCTGTTTCCGTTGTAGGGTGCTCCAGAACGGTTTGGAGGTGGAGAGACTCCGCTTGAGGAACTTCTTTCACTATTACCACTCAAAAAGAGGCATGTGGAATGCTCAGAACAAGAAAACCCCAAAGGGATAATATTTTCTTTTGGGCTGAGGATGATAAACCCACCTGCACATCCAGTATGTGTGTCTGTCAGAGGAGGACCTGTAGGAGCTCACTCACTGCCTGAACTCTGCCTTTTTTAAACAGGCTCCTGTTAGAGACTGCTCTGTGTTGGCATCAGACCCCATCGGATGTCTGTCTATGAGAAAGCGAGTCCGTATCTGAACATTAGGGGTGAACTCTATCTGTAGACAGACATGAGTCATCACTTTGCCTCACTGACTGAACTACTGCACAGAGAGAAGAGAGGTATTTTTGTTCTCTTTCTCTCCGCTATTTTTGGTGCAATTTTCTCCAACAGACTGGAAAGCAGCTGTTCCGTGCGGGTGTATATGATCGTTTCTGAGTGTGCGAGTGCATATGTGTATGCTTGGGTATGTACAGTATATATAAGTGTGCGTGGGTCAGACTGTGCTTGTATGTGCTTATGAGAAGAAGCACCTTTTTCTAACATGGGAATATGAAGACAACCTAAGATCTGTTTTTTCTAACCTGCTCTAACATGGGAGCCTCATAGAATGTGTATCAAACTCTTATTCAGATAGATTCATACATGGTGGTGTAGCTTAAGTAGAGGAACTCTATGTTTGGAACTGCAGTATTTCTTAATATATCGGTATGTTTGATATCATTAATCAGAGTTACTGAGGTGCTGGACTTCATTTTACAGCTGATAATTAAAACCACAGAAAGCTTTCTAATCAAACAAATCCCTTCCAAAACAAATACTCCAAGAAACATCTGATTTTGATCTCTTTTTTTCCCTTTCTGTATCTCGTTTCTAAGTTCCTCAAATATTTTTGAGGTCACAGGATATATGTTTTTATTTGTTTAAATAATGGTTTATCAGATGATCAAGCTGCATTTACATTAGAGCTAGTCATCAGATATAACTTAGTTTTATTAACTTAAGTTTACTGTTGTTTAAAGAACATCTTTTATTTAACCTGACCGAGTATGCAGTAACATTTGAGATTCTCATTTTTGCTCGGAAACACTGACTTTAGGAACAGTTTGCATATTTACACACTTCACCAAGATGTATCAATTCATTGGCAACTGTAACATAAAGCTATAGATGTGGAGGAAAAGACAGTAAAAATGTTCTGATATTTGACTTTATGTAGTCAGAAAGCTGAGATGTTCACTGCAAACACTGGATTTGAAGGTTTATAACTTTATCTCTTATTAGAATATCACAGACACAGGGAATGGTTAGCTATGAAAAGCGTCAACCATCTTTTAGGCTTGTCTAAAGCTCCACCAGTTGGCAGACCAGTTTGTGTTTCTAACATGACCTGGTGAGGCTTGGCTGTTTCACAAATGTGTGCCTTCATCAGGGTTTGGCTGCAGGCAGTTTTTTAAACTACTCTAATGACCATAGAAGTCAGGGACAGACAGAAATACAATGTTATTTATCAGCCGACTGTATTGTCACTGTAAATTCAGATACACTGTAAATGAACAAAATGTTCTCTTTAATGGATTATAGACACATCAGTGTTGTTCTCGTAGTATGCTGAATAAAAAAAAGGAACAGAAATGGTAGAGGCAGGATTAGACGTCAAGAAAAACTACTGAGAGGGCACAAAGGGTGTGATGGAGATTCAGTAGCAGCTGCAGTCAAGCAGGACGCAACCTACTGCCTTTGTTTTGGCTGCAGGCCGGGCCTCTAATGCCTCTGTGAGTTCTTATATTGATAGGTAGTGGCTGGAGGGTAAAAGGTGGGACATTTATATGTGTAGATGAGAGATAATGATCTGCTATTGATTCTTCAACCATCAAAATGCCCTCTAAGAACCTGTTATTGTCCCCACGACAGTGTTCTTTAATTATGCTCCTTCTGGCCACTGCCCGGCATGTTTTAGATGTTCTTATGCTTCAGCAAATATGGTTCAAATTTATTGGATGCTTTCAGAGCTTTGCATTTAAAAACAAGCTGCTGGGGACAGATGTTTCATTGGAATTGGTTATTCGGAAGCTAGGAAACATTTAACACATGCAGGGGCCGGGTCCACAAAGACAAGGAACACTGCGATACAGGAAGAAGCCTTCTACTGTACATCATTAAACACTGTCATGGGACTATTTAAAAATCTCTCTCCCTCTTTCTCTCTCTTTCTCTCTCTCTCTCTCTCTCTCACCCTCTCTCTCTCTCACTGTCTTTCTCTCTCTCTGTATATACATATATATATATTTATATATATGTATATACAAATTTAAATGAAAAATAATAGGAATATGCATTCCAAGGTAATTTCTGTGAAATTGTTTTGTAGAAAAAAAGGTTTTAAGAATGTATTGTACTTTTATTTTGATTTGCTGTTTTTTTTTTTTAAATAAAATTTTATGCTTACGTCTGAATAATTTATTTGGTTTGTTTGATTTTGAAATGGACTTTCTCATGCTGATGGTTTTGTATAATTTGAAGAGAGTAATACAAAAAGACAAACATTAGCGTAATTCTGTATCTGACCACACGATGGTGCTCTAAACGTATTGGCTCAGAACTTTCAAATGTGTTTACCTTATTTTTATAGTTTGACATGCATGACAAAAGTAAAGGTGTTTTACGAGCAGGAATGGTCTGGTTCAACTGTATATGTTCGATGACAGGGAACATCTTAATTATAATTCTTTCACTGAGGTGACATCTTGCCTGTAAATCAAGCTCAACATGGTTGTGCTAAAACCACTAAAAGTTCAAAATACATACTTTATACGGGATAATTCTGTCAAATTTTCATCAGGCTTACATAGATTAGTGTTTACATGCTTCACAAGGTGAAAAGAACATTTCATCATGGTAAAATCTTTAGTTTACATTCTTGTGAAATGACAACACTATCAGATTGATAAGTATGAGTTTGTCGGGCGTCCCTTTCTTTGTGTGTTGTAGCCAACGTAGGCAGAAAAGCAAGAATAAAACTAGCGTGTTAAATTCCCATCTGTGCTGACATATTTATGGGCTAATTTAATGATTTGCAGATTTCTTGGTTTTCCTCAGCCTTGTTTTGTTTGGTGGAGCAGAATACAGCTAACCTTATGAAGTAAGGATTGTCCACAGGATAGTGAGAGTGCGTGGGGGTCTGGATGACATAAGTGGAAACCTCCTCTGCTCTTCCCTTCCGGGATGTTGGCCTTAACAGCAGAAATCTGAGGAGATCTGACTCGTTGACACCAACATGTCAAAGTGGGATGGCTAAGATGTGTGCAATTAGCTTTTTCTTCATATATGAAAACACAGTTCTTGAAAAGTTACCATCATGTATGTATGTGAAAGAAAAGACTCGCTCCAGCAACTGATCCAATTCCCCAGGCATGCTGAGAGCTCTTTAACTTCAACCTATTAAGTCTTAGAGTTGGACCTTGTCCCAGAGGAGACACACCCTACTTGTGAGTGTAAGAAGTGTGATGGGAAACAGGTAGTCGCATGCCTCTTCAGTTTGTTTGCCTTATTTAACCTCAAGCATGTAACTAAATAAAAATCAGAGCCATCTGATGATCCAAATTGTACCATTTAGTGACTTTTTGCACATAGCCTGTGTAGAACTAATACTAAATTGGGACGATCTGTGCCAGTGCTTCAAAATAGAAAACATGAATTAAAGGAGGAGAAACGTTTATATATCTTTTTATAAATCATTGCATCAATTCTGTTTTCTGTTGCAATCATATGTATAAGCTTTCCAAATGCCCTCCCAGTACAAACTCTGAGCTTGGTGAAAACAAAGTGAACTCCACCCAATGTCTTACTGTCTCCAAGATTTACAATTTTGTGTCCAATTTTGCCACAGTCTAGACATACATTTGACTGTGCATTTTGGTCTTAGATGACTTACAGGAACATTTCTTCAGAACTGTGTGAAAATAACTAATCAAACACTGGATTTATCCACAACACGCACTCATGTTTGTTTTAAGTAGTTTTAAATATGTTTTAAGCAGTCCACAATATCACATTCATTTTAAAATGTGTTCAAATTTTAAATGTTAAATAGTTAAAACTATTTCAATTCTGCACATAAAGTCACGTGAGATTTTTATGCTGTGTCAGCGACTGAGAGTGATGAAGACCTAATTTATTTAAAAACCTATAAGGGATATTTTAAAATGTTCATTCCAACTGAAGGTGAGCGTGCTTATTTACACTAATCAGTGAAAGGTGTGCGGTCAAATGTGATTGGTTCAGACAGAAGCCAGGTTACTTCTGATTGGTGTTGACTGTGATCGTTCAGCCTTGGCCCCGCCCCTCAAACATCTGTGGCTGGGTCTCCAGCGGGCTGGAGCTGACGGGGAGCCTCGGAGGAGCCGCGGAGCAGCCGGAGGGACTTCTCAGTGTTCCTCTCTCAGCTCTGCGGGCAGCAGCGACCTGCCCAGCGGCCGGACGGGACTCTGTCTGCTCGTCAACTTCAACCGACACGGACTCAATGCACGCCAAAGCATTTAGTCATGTTTTAAGAAGAAGTTTGGATTTGGATAAACTTTAACTCCCGGTACCAGCCCCCCCCTGCCCTGCTCTGCTCCGTTTGGGGGAAAAGGTGAGACGAAATGCGGCACCGGTGGTCCTGACTGTCCTGTTTGTTACTGAGAATACAGAGTGGTTTTGATCCAGAAAACTTTTCAGTCAGGTTCAGGGATCGGAGCACTTCACCGTCCTGCGTTGATCTCTTCCTATACGAGCATGCCAGGGGAGTGTTGCGCAGCGTAACCAGTTCATCCAGCTCTGCGAGGAGTTTCGACGGCTTGACTGACTGACTTCCAGCGAAGGTAAACGAGGTTTTCCCCTTTTTTGAGGCGTCCCAGCCATCGGGCAACAATGGCTGGTTTGAGCAATGTCCACATGAAGACCCTGGAGGACCTGACGCTGGACTCCGGCTACGGCGCGGGGGACTCCTGCAAATCCCTCAGCCTGTCCTCCTCCAAGTCCAACTCCCAGGCCTTCGTGACGGCCCCCCACAGGGGGAACTGGTGGTACTACTCCGGGTCCATGAACAGCAGGAACAACAGCTGGGACACCGTCAACACCGTCCTGCCCGAGGACCCGGAGGACATCTTCTCCAAGTGCCACCGGCTGCCCGAGCTGGAGGAGTTCCCCTGGACGGACCAGGAGGTGGCCGGGATACTGCGCAAAGTGGCCGAGAGCGGGAGCGCCCAGTGCGGGGCGGCACCTGTGTTCTCCCCGGAGGCGGTGAGGCGGCTGTCCGCCCTCCTCCGCCGGGCTCTCATCCGCATCTCCCGGGAGGCCCAGCGGCTCAGCGTCATGCACTGCCGCTGCACGCGTTTCGAGGTGCACAGCGCCATGAGGCTGGTCCTCAGCTGGGCCCTGGCCGACCACTGCGTCTCCGCCACGGTCAAGGCCATCTCCATGTACTGCATGAGCGCGGGCGAGCTGCTGAGGAAGGGCAAGTCCGCCCGCTGCGGCCTCTCCTTCTCCGTGGGCCGCTTCTACCGCTGGATGGTGGACACCCGCATCTCCGTGCGCATCCACGAGTACGCGGCGATCTGCCTGACGGCGTGCATGGAAGCCCTGGTGGAGGAGGTCGGCGTCAGGGTGCTAATGGCCGAGAGGGGTCACTCAGGGCCGGACTCAGGGTTGGGATGCTCCTCAGTGAGTGCGGAGGCCCTGGAGGGGGTCGTGAACAATGATGCCGAGCTGTGGGGAGTCCTTCAGCACTACGAGCACCTGATCTGCGGGAAGAACGCCAACGGTAAGCCAGATTGGAGTTATGATTTTTATTCTTTGAGGGAATTGATACCCACCAGCTTTCAGTGAACATGTTTTTTCCGAGTGTGTGCGGATACTAGCCAGAAATACTACACTCCCACATATTGTCCCATCTGAATGCTGGTCACAACTTTCCAGTCTCACAGTTCTTGTTTGGAAAAAGGTGAAGTGTTGCCTGCTGCTGGATACAATAGCGGCTCTTTGTGAATGAAGGCTTGACGGATATGTTTCTAATTTGACTTGTCAGTATGGAAAAAACACACACATCTCGTGAACACAGAGGGGTATTCTCTCACTCGCCACACTCACACAGGCAGAACGAAAGGCCGGGCTCTTTTCTGGACAGCCAAACCTTGATTTGGGTTTCTTTACCCTAATCAGTTGCAACACTCAGGGCCTCGCTTGTCATCTGCGCACAGCCCAAGCAGGAGACGTGTCTGTTGACGTAACTGCTTACACCTCTCTGCCTCCTGCTGGGTTGGCTGCCCTCCTTTAAAGTTTTCCCTTTTTTCCTTTTCCTTATCCTGTGCTCTCCTTTTGTCTTGTCGGACTGATCCCTTTCTCCCACCTCCATCCTCGCATATCTAGAATCTCTCTCCACCGCCTCTCCCCCTGACCCAGCTGTGCATCCTGCTCCCGGTCCATTTGTTTCCTCCACCCTCACATCCCTCCTCAATCAACTCTTTTTTCTCTGCCCGTCCCCCCCCCCGCCCCTCCTTTGTCAAACCCTAGCACTATTTCCATGACTGTTTTGGCAGTCCAGCGCAGAGTTTATCCACGAGCCTGTGTTGGGACAATGTAACCGGCCTTTGTTCGTGGCCAACTATCAGCTCCCCATAGCAGAGCTTTTTACTGTAGCACAATGGCCTTTTGTTGTGTGATCATGCAGCTTAGCCCGATTGAGAGTGGGAGAAAACAAATGCCGGGGAAGCACACACACACACACACACACACACACAAACGGACAAAACAGACAACTGAGAGAAAGAGAAAAAGAGCGGAGATGGCCAATATTTCAGAGTCTCGCTGAGGCAAAGAGGAAGTACTTCTCTCTGCATATGGAACATGGCAGCGGAGAGCACTGCTGACTGTGTGGAGATGCACTGACAGGCATTCTCACTCGTTCCTGATCTCTTCCGTTTCAGTTTCTGCCCAGCTTCCAGTTCGTCCACTCCATTAAGCTGGCTGTTCAAGTGCAGTGGGTTCACCTGTTGCCATTCACTGCAGTTGGAGCTACTTAGCTGAAAAACACATTTAGTACTGGTCCCAGTATTTAACCAGATGTCTTTCGGTCAGCCTATTTTAGTGAGTTCAGTCACTGGTTTCTGAGTGTAATAACAACGGACTATTCTTCTGACCACCCGAACTTTTTATAGACCCGGTACTGTGCCTTGGAAGGCACATGCCCCCTCTACCACCTCACCACCTGACATTCTCCACCCTGAAAGTGGCTTTCTGCTGCCCCCACTGATTTAAATGCCCTACCCCCTCTTCATGGCAAAATGAGGAATCAAATAAATTAGCAATCTGATAAAACTCCCCTCTTTTCACTTGATTTCTCTTCGTCTTTCTAAGTCTTTCTCAGGGGGCTGGCCCACATCTGGAACTCATTAAGTCAGAAATGACTTCTACGGCTCCAATAACAAAAACCGAAAACTCCCTCCTCCCCTCGCTCGTTCTGTGCTCTTTCTCTCTCCGGCTCAGTCTACCTCATGGTTCTTTCTACCTTCCACCTTCTTTTTTTAAACTTTGCCATTATGTTTCTGTCCACTTCATCTTTATCTGTTTGTCTTTTGGCCTACTGGGAGTGCATTAGAGGAGCCCAGTTATGATGTGCCAGGATTTTGTTCATTACTCATGTGGACACTTGCATGAGCATGTTCTCTCACACACACACGCACACACACACACACACACACACACACACACACACACACACTGACCCTGAAACCAATTTAGTCTGCTTTGCATGCGTTCAAACAGCTCCAGAGCACAGGCTGAGCTCAATTCAGAACTCAGCTTCACAGAAGAACCATTTGTCATTTGGTTTTCAAGGAAACATGAGTGAGCTCTTCCTGGTATGATTTGTACTCATTGTGTTCTTAAGTATGTTTAAGTGCAGAGTGGTAGCTTTGCTAATGGACATTGGAAGTATAAAATTATTGATCTTGATGACTTGCATTCAGATGTCTGTTAATCTGCGTAGCAGGACAATTTTCTACGCACATCTTCATTTGAGTCTTCGTGAGCCTTTTAAGAACTCCTTTCACGCTTTTCCTCCTGTGGGTTTCCGAGGCTGTCGAAACAGCTGTGCAATGGTTAGATGGGGAAACTGTTACTGAAAGTTTCATTTGAAGTTGAGCATGTCATATATCTTGATGACATTTGCTCATTTTTTGCGTGGAGAAAATTGCGTTGCTGCAAAGTCTCTTCCATGGCTTTGATCTGAATTAGTGAATAAGGGCAGATTTCGTTCTCCAATTAATAAAGCTTAAGGTTAAATGTAGATTGGATGAAGGGCTAACATAAAACAAGCCCAGCTTTTCTGCTTCAGCTCTGTAGAGGTTGTAAACAGGCTGCTTGTAATGGTCTTAGGGTGAACTGAGAGAACATATGATTTGCTGCTCAGTATTTCCCTAAATATGTATTTAGCCCAGAAAGAGGCGTGGGAACAGTGGGCAGAAAGATGCAGGGAGAGCAGCCCAGCACTGTGGTCACACAGATGGGGAAAGCAGCACTCTAGAAAATATACTCCCTAATCCACAAATGTGGAACAGGATCAAATGCCGTTTTGGAAAAGGCATGCTGCAGATTTCCTCAGACATGAAAAAAATAACAGCCCATATTTGCTCTAACTAACAAACCAGATCAATTCAGCTTCAATATGTCAACGTCATTAGCAGGCTGATGTTTAAAGAATTAAAACAATACCACTTATTGCTTTAGTGGATAATAAGGGCTAATCCCTCTCCAGACAGTACAGTTTATGTTTGTGGTTGAAAGTGCAGCAGGGTTATGCGGGGGTGCGCCATCACCCGGGGCTCCACACACGTACAGTGATGGTCCGTGTCACTGTTTGCACTGGCTTCTTGTCTGGTCCCAGCTGTAAAAACACTGACCCATTAGAGTGCTGGCGCGCACATGTGCCTGAATGTGCTCATCTGCGCCGGCTTGCGCTTGTTTTTACGGGTAGCGGCCGCTCTGGTAGAGTCATGAGTAACGGCTTCTCTGATATGACACCACAAAAGATTTGTCTGGCTATGAAAAAAGCAGCAAAACAGGAGCAGCTTATTTTCTCATTCTCTGACGCGGGCCGCACGCCCTGTAAAGTTATTCAAAATCAACCCAGTAGCATTTTAAACAGAGTTAGATTCTCCTTTGAGTCTGTGCTCACTACTTACTAACATCCAGCAATATTCCCCTGATTACAGTCCAGCAGCATGAGTCACACTTCTATAGAATAAAGCACTGATAGAGAGGAAGCAGAGTGACATAAAGATGAGTGCTGTTTAAGGGAAGAGGTCAGGAGTTACAAATGGAGGCAGGGGAATAGTGACTGTGAGCCTTAAACATGCATGCCTCTGCATCTTGATAATCGCTAATCGCTGATGGGAAGCTGAAATTGAGTCTTTGACCACAGAGAACAGAAAAGGGCTGATAGTTTTTTGGCTTGTTTGTGCTGCAAATGTGCTGTAGGTGTGGCAAATGGATGAATACAGAGTCATGGCTGTGGTTCGTAAGGGAATCTTTTCGGCCCGATGGGTTGCATCCCAAGTAGCTAATGCGGGAAGCAGGAAGATTGAATGGAATATGGTTTGAATTGTGGATAGATCAGTGCATAGATAGCGCCAGTTTTTAGGGATCTGCAGGGAATAACATTGTCCAACTGTAAGATGCAGTTAAAGGTCATTGCAGATAAATGTTCCACTCCTTCAACCTGTGGAGTCACCAAATAAATTCACCCTCTGGCCCTGCGATTAACTGGCAGACCGTACAGGACGCACCCCGCCTCTAACCCACTGACCACTGGGATAGGCTCCAGTTCCCCCCGCGACCCCATTAGGGAATAAGCGGTAACAAAAATTGACGGATGGATGGTTCTGAAAGTAGATGGATGGATATTGCACAAATAAGTATTCACATCTTGTTTTAATAACAAGACAAAACCTCAATCTTCTGATATCATGAGATAAAATTTGAACAAAAATGTCTGTTATCCTACAGCTTGAAAGAATCGTTGCTGTCACAGAAAGACAGATGCCATCATCAGTGCATCTTTGATAATTTCGTGTGAACTCTTGCATAATAGAGCTTTGTGCTCGTAGAAAACCGGCCTCCGGAAGAGTGGTAATGTAAAATACTCTGCACTAACTTGCACTAACTATGCTTCCTTTCATCAGGTTTACCTTGGCAGCTGCAGGTTTCCAGCATTTTTTGTTAATCTCACAATAATCATCATTCATTTGACTGTATTAATCATTATTTAATAAAATCCTACTAATTCTTTTCCTCAGGATGCGCAAATGATATGCATACAGAGCTAGAAAAAACACCATAATGGGGTATAATGTTCTCTAAAGTGGAATTACTGCAAGAAAACATGTTGCAATCAGAGCATCCTCTCAAAGTTTATTCAGAAATGATTTCACTAAGTCACGCCAGCCAAGTTTTGGAGAAGAAGAGACAGAGAGAGACAAACAATACTCCATTCAGACTTTTCTTTTAAACAGCTCACGTATCTCTCACAGCACAAGACTTTGAATAAATCTTGCAGTCTGGTCAAACCGCAATCCCCCCCCCCCACCCCCCCCAACGAAAAATAATCAGATCCCGTTCTCCTTTCCACGAACAACCTGTGCCAACAGTCCTTATTGCCTCTAAGCATTCACTGGCATCAGTTTCTGCGCATTTGAGCTCCAGCAAAAACCCTAAGCCAGTCACTTTAGCCGCTTCAGAACCATTTAGTGGGTGATTTGGTTGTAGTATTTTGTTACACGCAAACAGATAAGACAGGACGAGAGGAGGGTACGGACATCAGGAAGTGTGCATTTTAATTGGCAACAGATTTATGCAACCGGGGATGGGATTTAATTTGGTCAATTCTGTTTGAGTCGACTGACCCAGCCAGGCCGGTCCCAGCCAAATTTCCACAGTAGAGGAAGAGTTTGTGTCTGTGTGCAGAACGGCTCCCGTGAATGCGTGTGTGTGCGCCAAAGGAAGGGCTGTGATCGCTTCAGCCAGCGCTGAAAAAAGGAACACAGCTTCTTTTGGATGTTCTTCAGCCAAGCAAGGAAAGTGCGTTTTTCTCTTTTCCTCCTTTTAAGTCTGAGCTGTTGTTTTTGTACTCGGACTGAAATAGAGAGCTTTTTGTGATGCTCTCAGTGACCTCCTTGTCCAGCAGAGTCAGAGCTGTGTGATGGGGTTGAATGGCTTAGCTCAGATATATTGCACTGGAAAAACAAACACCCTTGTTAGTAGTCTCACTGTAAGCCTGTCCTCCTCATTTTTTCTTTTTTTTTACCCAGAGGTCTGCACATCATGAACACCTCAGTATGCCACGACCCAGATAGCAGGAAGACTTTGACTAACACATCTTAGAAAAGAAAATATTTAGTAGAAATAATTTTCAATTTTCTTTATTGAAAAAAACGATTCATTATATCAATAAATGGCCTCTGCAGACCCCCAAATTCACATCAGAGACAGCAGGCAACAGGTTAAAAAATAAGATAGATGCTTTCTGTACATCTATAACTGCTTCTTGACTGTTTAACATTTTTCAGTTTGATTTGAGAGCCAACAGGCGAAATAACTCATATAATCCATGAGTATAATAATCCATTTACCTACTAAACACAAATCAGGCACATGTATTTCACCCATTTATACAGAGAATCAGTGTGCAGGATGTGTCTACCCAAATAGCTGGCAACATTTTCCAGTGGATGGAAAGGTGAACTCATGGGATCATAAATCAAAAGTACAAGACAAGCATGTTGTAGGTATGTGTGCCAGGTTCAGCTGGCAATTTGCCCGTGATGACAGTATAACTAAGTTGTGTGCCTGTTTTAAGTAGGCCATTTAATTTTTTAAAACTTTGTTTCCCCCTCTCTCATCAGGCAGTATCGTTGCTTCTTAAGGTCAATATGTGCGTTGTTCTGAGTTATTTTCTTTTTGTTTGTCTGTTTTTTTTTCGGCAGCTGTTTAATTAGGGCCAGACTGTGTGACAATAAATGCAAGC